CTCAACCCCAGACCCTTTCCAAGTAGATCTGGGAAGGAAATCTCACAGCTATCTGAATTTCTTCACAAGACGTATGTGTACTGCACTGGTTAGTGGAAGAAAATTTAAAATGCCTTGAGCATTGGGCTAGATTTCCCAGCTTCCTTTGGCAGCTACAGATACTGTTACCATTTTTGTTTTTGCCCAGCCTATCGCAGTTCCTTAAACTTTCTTCAGTACAATCACCAGAACAGAGGTCATTCAAGGAGAGGTGGGAGTTTATTCAGTGTTCAGTAAAGGGCAGGAGCCAGAAATCACGATCTCGGATGAGTCAGTGTACACACCCCTAATACAATTAAGCTGTAAAGGAAATGAGATAATTTTGTTTTAGAATTTTGGGAGGGCTCAGGTGGTTGAATAAGTGAGTGGCATATTTTTTATTTTTTTGGAAGAAATCATCATGCTTCTAAGAAATCTCACCCTTCCCTCCTCCTGGACTGATCACATCTGCCTATTCCCAGGAGTTGTATGAAAAGTGTAAGTTGTCACAGCACTGGTAGGGGGAGGTTTACTGTGGGAGTTCGTTAGAATGAAGCTTGAAAAGCAAGATGGTGTCCAAAGAAGCTCATGGTGCCCAAGCCTTAGGCAGATTTGGTTCTGTTCTGTTTTGCTTTTCTGGTCTTAATGTAATGGTGATTTCCTGTGCTTCACAGAAAATCACCCTTGTGGCAAAAATATGAAACTCTTAGTATATGCACTGATCATATATGAGGTGGGCATCCCAGGTCCAGAAGAGATAAGGAAGAGAAATAAAGGGAAAAATAGGAAGGGGAATATATGAGGGCCAAGGTACCAATCCTGTTGCTCTTGAAGCTCTGTGACTATTTAGATAACAGTGATAATGACTGCAAAGTGGTTTAATTTATACATTAACAGATTATGTCACATGGAACTAGGCATTAACATACTACTTAAATCTAGCACTGCTAAAATAATGTCTTTGATATTTTAATCCAGATGCAGAGCTTAAATGTGCTGTTATGGTCTGTGTCTGAATGTCCCCCCTCCAAAACTTCCTACAGTCATGCGGCAGGCTTCTAGAGTTTATAATTGATTCATGGTCCAATGCTGGGATTATGGGTGTCTGTGCTATGTCTGCCCTGGGACAGGTAGTTTGCATACAATGTAAAGGAGGGAAAGAGGCTGCTTGTTTCCTCCCTTTTTGCTCTTGTTGCTTCTGCTGTGTTCTGCTGCCATGAACTGTTGCGCTCTGCCATGTGCCACCCTGCTGTAGAGCCAGCCAAATATGGACTGAAGCCTCCACAAACTGTAAGCTAAATAAACCTTTCCTTCCTTCATTCTGGTCAAGTATTTTGTCTCAGCAATAAGAGAAAAGTAACTAAGATATGTTCTTTTCTAGAAGTGAGAATTATTGGCCTACTGATAGTATATATTTAGTTATTTGTCTTTCAATATATTTCTCATGAGTGAATTGAGAGTCTTGGAATGCTCACCATTCCAACCAAAGTGTATAATTTCCACTTTGGTTTCTATGAAGATACACTATTAGAGATATCACCTTAAAAATAAAGCAAGGCTAGTAGAGTTAAATCAAAGTTCTTCTTAATAAAAGTCTTGGTCTCACCTTTAACAAGCATATCCTACGTTATGGAAGACAAAGCCATGACATAAACCAGGGATGGCGAGCCCTTCAGAGACTAGTGCCTCAACTGCAACCCAAAGTCATTTATCACAAAGCACCCACAATTCAGTTAACCTGACTGCTGAGGCTTAGTTTGCAAAAAACAACTCATATGCTAACATCTTAAAAGAAAAACAAATGACACATGTGCCATAGGTCCTGCACCAGTGATATAAGCCATTAATATGTAAGGCAAAATTTTAGATAGGAGCTAAAAGAAGGGACTTGTGGTATTGTGGTTTGGGAGATAAACAAGAGAGAAAAGGAGATATTGTGCATGGAGATATTGGGATTAAAAAGAGAGAAAAGATGTGCATAGACACTGGTGAGACTTCCTGGGCAGAGAGGCACTTGAGGTAGATCTTCAAATGGTAAAATTTTAATGTGTTCATATCCAAAGGATGAGCACTACATCCAGGATGATTTAATGACAAAGATATTTTGTGAAATAGGGGATATGCTGTAGTGATTGGTAGATCATCGGAACTGGGTTGTTGACTTGAAGAGAAAATTTAAAGAATGAGTCTTGAATGGTTGGTAGTAAAGTTAATCTAAGAAACTTCAAGTATTTTTTTGGTTTTTTGTTTCTTTGTTTTTTTCTGATACTGGGAATCGAACTCACGACCTTGCACTTGCCAGGCAGGCACTGTGCTGCTGAGCTAACTCCTTAGCCCCAAAGAAACTTCAAGTTTTATTCCGCATCTGTAGGATCAAGGAAGTATTTCTGAAGAAGTTGGCAGCACCAGAGGTATAATCTAGAGAAACTATATTGCAAATCACAGAGTCTGAAATTAGTAAGACTGTGGGGAAGGAGGATGATTTGCCCTAAGTATCACTAAAGGTGTAGTAAGTAGTGTCAATTGATTGAAAAAGTAAAACAATTTTAAGAGAAGCAATAACACAACCTAATCATTGAGAAGTGAGTACATAATGTACTAGTAAGGGAGAGGGAAAAGCAAAAGTACTGAAATTTAAAGCTCGGATAGCTTCAAACTCATTGCTGACATTGACTAAACTGTGAGGAAGAGTGGAGGAAAACAGTAATGTAAATGTTGCACTTGTTAATTCTGAAATGGCAAATACATATTCAGACGTACAGATATTAGGCTGGACTGGTTGTGAACCGGCTGCCCACACTGTAGGACTGACAGTACCAGATGATAGCTGCACATGGCTTCCAGCCAAAAAAGAAAAACTCAGCCAAACACTGCCTCCCTTCTAGTAACTATGACTTTAATGAGTTCTTTAATCTCATATAAACTTTGCTTTGCTTTTGCATTCAATTAGAATAATTGCACATAACTCCTACAGTAACCTCACTACTTAAGTGTACAGATCATCTAGTGAAGTTTTACCTACAGTGGTCCCTCAATAAAGAAGTTACAATTACTTTTATGATTATAGTTTTAAAACTTCAGTGCCTTGGCAGCACCAACTGCCTCACAGTATCTGTGTACTCAGGTCTCCCACACACTGTTGAGCCAGGAGTCATCTGTCTAGTGCCTAAAGCAGAGAGGTTAACGAGAAAGCCAAGAGCAAGTTCACCAAGAATCAAAACAAAGAATCTAAGTACCTAAGTTTATAGACTTCAAAGAGAAATTAAGTTTCTACTTATTTCTTATTTTTTTCATCATTCAGTGGTACCCAGTTTAACAACTTGAAATTAAGGAGATAAATGAAAAGTAGATTTCAGTGAAAAGCATAAAGGAAAAAGAGTTTCAGTAAAGGCCTTGAAAAATTAGATTATCCTCACTAGCAGAATAGCATGGCTGGTGATTGGAACATGCAACCAGAAGAGCGTACAAATGGCAGGAAAGTGTCTTTGGAAATTGTAATGTGGAATATAGTAAAGGGACGTGTTGCTAGACTGAGCACTCAGAAATTGCTCATGGATCACAGAAGAAGCTGGAGCTTTCAGTGTGCATGGACGGAGAACAAGACGCTGAGAGCTGGGTGTCAGAACGGTATTGTCACTAGCAGCAGAAGAGGAAGGAGTGATGGGAGGGAGACTGCAGGATTGCACTGCCCTAGAATGATGAAGGCCAAGACTAAGATCACTATAGATACTGGAAGTGAGGGAGGAAGGAGAGGTTTTACAGAGTAATGGAAAGTACTCCTTATGCTTCTGATGAGAGGAAAGTGCAAACAAAGAGTCAAGTTAATTTGTGTTTTGATGTTTCCAGTTCAGGTAATCAGGAGAAAACTAATGATTGATAAAAATGAAAAATCTAAAGGAAAAAGGCTAAAGACATCCCATCAATCTTACTCTCCAACTAAACCAAGAGACTTGTTTTTTTCTTTCTAATAAAATAGAACCTAAAATTATGATATTGATTTATACCACCTGAGACCATTACACTAGGAAAGCCTTGGATTATTTTCACATCTCTTAATGAAATCACCTTTGGTGCTTTTGTGTTTGAATGACAGACAAATGAGGAAAAGGACCAAAGATTTAGCAAATGTCCCAATAAACATCAGGTTTTAAGCTACAGTCTGAGGGCCAATGAACCATTTCAAAGTTCTTTTATAATAGAATATCATTTTCAAAATTACAGTTTTTTAAATGCCAGTGGAAAGAAACAGTATAAAGCACTGTTAAAAATCCTGAGATTTTCTATTTCAGTGCATGGTTGTATTTGACATAGGTGGGAAATATTCTTGATTCTTCCCATGTAGGTAAAATGATAGATTTGGAGGCCTCTCTGGCCCTGGCATTGTAGTTCTACCTGGAGCTCCAAGGTTTGCCATTCTCCCCAGACATCAAACACTGAGACTATATTTTTACAGAAATAATCTTTTCCTGGAGACAGAGGAGCTAAGACTCTAACTTTATCAACAAGAAGTCTGACATTCACTCTTGGACTTGGATCACTTGCCTTTTGCAGTAGGTTGTGCATAGTTGCAGACACCATTCAAACCTTCTGAACCACCATACTAATTGGGAAAACAAGTACCAGGGGATGAAAACAAATGCAAGAAATGGGCATTCATGAATCTGAATTTCTTAGTAATTCTTTACTTCTCTTATACCTAAAGTGAAATAAAATTTTTTGTTGCTGAAAAAGAAAGATAAATCCTTTATGTTTTCAGAGAGCCATGTATATCTACAGAATACCTTTTAAATTGCAAATAGTGATGTTAGACTCATGCTTCTTAGATTTGCTTCATGGCTATTTAGATTATTTTAGTTTTACTATTACCCACAATATAGGAATAATTTGGGGGCTAAATTGTCATAAAGGGTTTTTTATGACATAGCATATGATGCTACATGTCTATGGAATAATGAATATCTGGGCATTTGGATACCTGTGAGCAGGCAGTAAGAACGGTTACAACACTCTGCAGTAATTCTCAAGCGAGTCCCAGGCATTTGAAGGAATAGGTGGAACTTCTGATTAATACACGTTTAAATGCTGTATGATGAAAGTAAGTACAGAGTGCATAATAGCCCATGAGGAAACATTAATAGTATTTGATTCGGAAGTTACGCAGTAGGGCAGTGAAATACTCAAGTATTTTATCTAGGGTTATTTGTATCCATCTGTCATTTAGAAGTTCAGATTCTGAATTATTTATGCATAGGATAATTCACACTTACGTAGCACTTTCTACGTAGCAAACCAAAGTCTTATTTATTAACTAGTTGACATTCATATGTATTCTGCGTTATATCTGAGCCAGGTTGAAATTTTCAAATCCAATCTTTTAGAAGAGAGGCAAGCCTGAGAAGGCAGAGTTCTCTTAATAAGTGTTTATATATATATGTATAGGCTCAGCTTAGTAAGCCTTTCTCATGAGTTAGTCTTTCAGAAGTGAAACATTTGACCTACTTTTTGATTGTATATTTTCATTTTGCTTTTAAGTCCATTTTGTTTAACATAATCTGGTTATGGAATTTTTTTATATTTTGAGCGGAATTTCACCTCGTATTAATTTCTATCTTTCTAAATCAGTATGTGTCAAATGGCTTTTATGAATTATTTATAAGTATCATCCAGCTATTTTATGTAGCTGAATTTTATGGATGTGATGAACAGATGCTGAGAATGCAGACTCTGGCCTTGGTAAAGATTCCTACACAGAGAGTTGTGGCTTAAAATGTTAGCGATGCTGGGCACGTATTTGGTGATAGATCGTGTCTGTAGTATGCACAGTGCCTTAGGATCAGTTGCTAGGACCAAGGGGGCGGGAGGTAAGGCACATTTGCTTTTAAAGACAAAATATACCTTCGGTTCCTCAACCAGCCTGGCAGAAATGTATGTTCTTCAGTGTATGAATGTCATTCTTACACTATCCCCAGGATTTATGTCATTCCATGAGCCTCTCCAGATTTATCATGAGGTGTCTCGTATTTGCTCCCACCAGTCTATTGGCAGTGGCAGCACATGGCACTCTGCTTTGTCTCCTTTCTTCCAGTTCTATGATGACTCCACTGCTAGTGCCTGGCATAAAACCCTAGTGTTCTTGCCAAGGGCAGTAACAAGACACTACCAGGTTTCCAACTGGAGATGGCTACAAACCCATTTAGGAGGGCTGAGGGTCATCAGATTTGTTAGGAGCAGAAACAATCATGTCTTGAAGGACATTTTCATGGCTTATGTGGCTTTGTCATGTCTTTAATAAGTCTATTTAGCCATAACATTGAAGGTATCCTCAGGATGCTTACATTTATATTTATAAATTTTAGAAAACATAACTTGTAAAGTGTTTTCTTTCTTGGTTGCCATTGACACAATTTACTTACTTGATAGTGACATAAGTAGGGTAGAAGAAGATACTTGCAGCTCATCACACACACACACACACACACACACACACACACACACACACACACAGGCACAGTCACATCCCAGACCCCCGATGTATCACCACCACTTTCCAGTCTTGGTGAGTCGGAAGCAGGACGCTCTCCCCTGCTGTTGAGCCACACCGGCTAAGCCAGCGCCTGAAGCAGTTGATTGCTCCTGGATTCACATCATCTCTTGGGAAGCTCTCACTTCAGGCATAAGCCTCTGATCTAGTCCTGTACATTTGCTGTGGTGGCACCAACTCTAAAACGCTCTGTGTGGGGCCCTTCCTCCCTCTCCCGCTTCACTGCACCACACTTTGCGCACACCAGCAGGCACTAATGGGCACCACGGAAAGAGTTAATGCGGAGCAATGACAAAGAGAGGACAGCAGAGATATACCAGCCCCTCGCAGTGCTGGTACCACGGCGGTCCAGCAATAGATGTCCTGCTACTCCAGTGCTGCTGAAAAAGTGGTTTAGAAGGACTCCTTGGTTTTAACTGCATTTGATCTAATTGTACCTACTGCTGACTGACTGACAGCATTCTGAGAAAATAAGAAGGATCATCCAGTGTTTGGGCTATCTACTTGTTGAGTTTTGTTTGTTTGTTCTTATCTTTGCCATTCTGTTTATTCCTGTCCGTGCTTTCATCTCCCAAAGGTTTTTCTTTATTATGTATAGTAAGCTGGCATGTGTTCTCTATGGAATAATACTGGGAATGTTGAATAAACTTTACAAAAGTCTATGTAATGTGAACCCAAATGAAGTCCAGCTTCTGACTGCCAATATGATCAAGTAGTAATGTTTTCTCAATCTACTTAGAATATGAATACAGGAACTATGATGAAACTTTACATATTTCAACAGATAAAGGAAACAGAAAAACTATTCAAGTAATGCAAATGTCAACAATACTTAAAGCCCTTAGAAACAACTTTCCTGTACACTCAGTAAGTTTTGATTTCTTAAATGCATATACAAATGAATATTCTACTAAACTAGGCAGGAAAAAGTGATGGTACATAAATCCATGTCTGCCTTAAAATCATTAGGAAGGCAGACTCAAAATGAGAAGCTATAATTGCCAGTCACTTGCAGACAGCAAACAATAAATGCTGAAAAGAGGTTTTAAACATTGTGTTATGAATTTAATACTAAAGTAATGCTGCTTGAAAATGATAGTAAAATAAATCAAATTATTTAAATAATAGGATTGTGCAAGCTATTGTAGTCCTGTGCCATGAAGATTTCTTGCTCTCGATTTTGTAACAATATTTTAAATTTAATCAACTGCTTTAAAAAAACTGTAAACCTTGTGGTTTTCAATCTTGAGTAAGAAGCAAAGAGAACTCTGTGAGAGGTTGCAGGAAAACAAAAAATAATGTAACCAGGAAACTGGCTGTTCACTGTGCAATTAGTTTGAGTGCAAGAGCTGCTTCAATAAAGATGTGTCCACAGACATCACAGGGCTTCGGACACCTAGCAGGAGATGCGGACGTGGGGAACTCTTGGCTAAGAAATTTCATGTGAGAATTGAAAGGACAGGTAGGAATTAGTAGAGAGGTGGAAATGAAGCAAAGGTAGAGCTTTTATTTTGTGTTTAGTTGAGAAATTACTTGGTCAGGTTTTGTGTTTGGTTGAGCTAACAGACGGTTCAGTATTAGCAGATGAGATGATAATTAACATGCTAACTGCTGCTAGGGAGCAGTAACAAAGGAATCCTGAGGACCAGTGATTAGATTTCGTAAAACAATTTTCCCAGAATCAGATGGTCAGTATGTGCATACTGTATGTGTGGAGATGAAATAATGCATGGGGAACTGAGCACATTCCCAAATCAAATAATTTTTTCACTGAAATAAGAGAACTGAACCTTTTCCCTGAGTTGTTTTTCCTATTTCCTCCACTTCCCATACCCATTTTAACAGCAATGTAAGATAACATAATTGCTCTGAATATTTGCTGCAGCTTGCAAATTTGACAAAATTCGTTATAACCCAAAGCTAACCTCATGGAATAATGCTGGGAATATTGAATAAACTTCTCACAGCAGAGCTAACCCCAGAATCCCTAGAGCTTTGGCGTGAAAAGAACACGACAGGTAGTTGCGTGCACACCCCGCACCACCACGCATGCGTAAATACGTGCTTCCCGATGGCAAGATCCAACATCTCACTCATCGCATAGTTTTCACCTTGTAGTTCTAATTTACTCCTTATAAAACAAATGGAAAATATCTACTATCGTTATATTTTATAGATTTATGTTTGAAACGTATTTGTATGTTTTAACTATACTTCAAACATCAACCTGAATCACATTTTTCCCATGCCAAAAAATTGTATTATCACTTTTACGCCTTACCTTGTTTTATACCATCTCACTTGCAATTCAGGGGCAAGCAGAGAACAGCCCAGGTGAAAGTTAAGACAACTAAGAAGACCAGAGGACACTCCGAGCATTACGAGTATATAATCATGTTACCTTCCACTTACAGATTTCAGGATGGTCTATATAACATCATTAATTACACTGAGGAATACACCTAGTCACTTTCTTTTTACAGATTTAGGGGTATAATTACTTAATCTCTCTGTATCTGTTTCCTTCAGCTGCAAAATAGGCATATTATTAAATATCTCATTCCATAATGTCAGAATGAAGGATTTATTATATTTAGAGTGATTAAAATAGTATCTCACATGTATTTATTATTGTAGTAACACTCATTTTCACAAGTCTAGCTAAACTCAAGTAATTTATTAATTAAATTTGACAAAGCAAACAATGTTTGTTTAAGTTATGTAGATTTATTTTATTTCATTTGTGTACAATATTGGAGAAGCTTTGTGCCTTACAAACTTTAATTCATTTGTAATCCTACCTCCTTTTGTTCCCGGTACTGAGAATTCAAACCTTCTTTTCACTGAGGTATAGTCCAGGCTTTTTTCATGTTTGATTTTGAGATAGTTTCTTGCTTAATCACTAAATTCCTCAGGCTGGATTCAAACATTTTGCCTGTTACTAAGTTGTAACCTGGAGCTTTACGGGAAGAAGGCATCTGTGGTACAAAAGTGGTCTTGTTAAAAGCAGAAGTTCTGAACTTGTGGGTCTTAAAACCCATTTTCCCTCTTAAGAATTATTGAAGACTTCAAAGAGTTTTTTCTAACTGTAGCTAATATTTGTCATATTATCCACTTAAACTGAGAATTTGAACAGTTATTTATTAATTTATATAAAAAATTACACCAGTAAACCATTTCAGCAGTACCACATTCCCAAACTTAATTCTTTTCACAATTCTGGTCACAAACCAAATAAAAATTAACAGTTACGTTCAGTGTGGAATTTACAGAGAAATTTGATTTGAATCTAATACAATTTGATTTGTGACTAGAATGTGGAAAGAATAAAGGTTATGAACCAAGGTACCACTGTATGTGTTAAACTATATAGCACATTTTATTAAGGCATCAAATAATTTTAAGACACTAATAAATACTAAAATATTATTTAAAAGAATGATGTTTTTCATTTTGTAAATCAAGTGTCTGGCTTATTAGAGGATGACTGAATTCTCACATCTGATTATGCCTTAAATCTTTTAATATATTGTTTTGGTGGAAGTAGATGATGAGAATCCAGTTTCATAGGGCCATGTAGTTCACAAAGGGGATATTATCTTTGTACCTTTTCAAATAATAGTGGCTATTGTTTTATACTATACCAAATCTTAGCAAGAGATAGATTCTTAAAGGTTAGTTGTGATAAGCACTGTGAAACTATATCAGTGAATTATTTTATATTTGTTAAAATCTGTCAATGCATTTTCCTGTTCAAATGACCTTCCCATGCCTGGTTGTTTAAGGTCATGCATTATTCATTTGGCAGTTTGGGGATCATTATTAAGCAGAAGATCCAGGTGTTGACACATTTCTTTACTCAGTATCAAAAATTGCATTTACTTATATCAACATCAATCTCATTTAAAAAGTCTCTAAGTTTGGGAAGCAGTCAAGTGCACAGTGACAAATGCATTTTCTTCACTTGAAGCTTAAATTTTATTATTGGCAACAAATATGGTCAGTTGTTTTCCTTAAAGTCAACAGATTCCTTTTGTTCATTTTTCAAGAAAATATCTGCCAAATATCCAAAGCTAAATTATTGTAATGTGTCTTTCAAGCAAAAATGATGCTCCATGAAAACCCAGCAATACAGCTTACAATTAAAACATTTGCAAAGCTGCTTTTCATACAAAACCCATCATAGCAATCAGTGTGCAGCAAAGTGCCTTATTCATATTTAAGATTTCATCCTAAACAATATCAAGGCATTTATCAAGTATTCTAGATATTAAAAATGGGTTTTGTACTTCATTGAAGGGATTTTAAGTATTGCCTTTTTTCTGTTTGCATCCTGAAAAGTGCATGGCAGTGAATTCTACGATGCACACTAGATGGTCAGGCTTGGAGCTGCTGTCCTGATTGCGGAGGCATCTGTAGTTTTATCCATCACTGCTCTTGCGCCATCAACACAAATGTCAACCCATACGTTCTATTATAATCCACTGAATATGAAAGTGATCCAACAATTTAAATATTTCATCTTCACTTACATTTGCTGCAAAGCATTTACATGAGATCATCTTTGATGGTTGGTTCATCCTACATTGAACCAATTCAGGTGCAATGAAGAAGTCTAATGTTATCTGTACAGGGTAACATTGTAGAGCAATTATCAATTCTGTCTTCCTGTTTAAGCTAAAATGCTCAGTTCATGACAAATGTCTGGTTGGAATATGGCCTGTTTTTTCCTGTAGCCTGAATTTCCTGTTTTTCTGTTGTACTGGCTTGCTTTTTTTCCAGTAGGCACTCCACAATGGCAGGTATAAATGGCTTCGTTAGTCTCTCAGCTCTCTGTGTGCATCTCAGCTAAAGCAGTCCAATAGCATGCCCTGCAAGATGCTTATCCCTGCCCAGCCTTAACTTGGCAAATGATGCTTGTCTTTTACAGAGGTAACAATGTCTGCCTGTCTAAAATCTAGTCTTATTTTTTAAAAGTCTTAATTATTTGTCTTATTATAACTTTGTGATCAATTGTCAGAATAAAACTATCACAAAATGCTTTTCTGTCTAAATTCTAATACAGCCAATTATTGACATCTATAAAGTTAACTGAAAGGTAAATTTTGTTATATTTTCATTTTTGATTACTGTTTTTCTCCTTTTATTTGATATATATTTTTTCCTCTCAAAAGTAAGAAACCTACTTGAAATGGCAATTTGATCTACTTTTTGCCTCTTTAAATTGATAGTATAACCAAGAGGGAGAAAGAGAGTCTTTCAGTTGATCTCCCTTTTCCTAAGACAAAAGACCATGAAATAAATACAGTAGAAACACATTTTCTTTTATTTAAAGGAAAATATAATTTTTAAAATTTCTATACTTTTAGATAGAATTTAAATATCTATAAAAGATCTCAAACTATATAGATAGATAAGTACATAGATGTAAGAATAGATAGATTCACACAATAAAGGACATTATGTACTTAATACTTGCTGTGATTTGGTGTCAAGACAAGTGAAATTATGAAATTGCAGAACAACAGCTTTGGGATTATAATGGACTTCCAGGGGTAATATTGGTGAGAATTGAAAATGGCCAGGTAGAGTCCAGAAAATCACTGAGAACAAACTGAACCAAACTATGAATGTTGATATCATTTATAAACAAAAGTTCTTTATCTTAGAATATTCTTGAAAACACAAGCAAATTCTTCATTAGCTATTGCCATGCATTTTTTTCTTTTTTTGAGAAAGTGTCTTGCTAAATAGTTCAGGCTAGCTTTGAGCTCACTATGTAGCTCAGGCTGTCTCAAACTCACAGCAATCCTCCTGCCTCAGCCTCTGGAGAGCTGGGACTCCAGGCGTGCACCACCATGCCTAGCTTGCCATCCATTCTTAATAAAACAAAAGTATCAAAGAAAAAATAGTATTTTACAATTATGAAAGGAATACCTCTAAATTAAGGGAACAAGAGTGACAATAATATTTTTAAAAATCTAAAATCACAGCAATTTCACATAATTGATTGCTTGTTCATGTAAAGTCTAATTTGAATCAAGGAAGACGCTCTTGGTGTTCTGCATATTTAGAAAGTGAAGCAGAAGGAGTTCTGCATTTTCATTGTACACATGCACAGATCACATGTCGCTTTTTAAATTAACCCCAGGAGGATTTTTTTTGAGAAGTTTTTATGAGCCCGACCTGCAGTTTCGCCCTTTTGTCCTCAGTTGGCTGCCCAGTATCGTGAGGGGGTCAGCTGTCCCTGCAGGGCTGCTGGGGCAGCATGGCCTAGCTGTGTGCCAGGTGGTCTCAGTAGACCGTTCTCTGTAATATATCTACTGTGAATTCTTGTGGACTGAAAAAGGGTAAGTATAAGGTCTTCCTAATGTACAAATATACTGGAAAATCATCTCAGAGTAAATGTAATTGTTTTTCTGCATTCAGAGAATTATGTTTAATTCAGTAACATTTATTAAGCACCTACTGTGCTGTGTGTCCTGAGTAGAGATAGGATCAATACACACAGGTCCTGTAAAGAGTGGATTTTGTTAAAGGCCAGTAGGAGTAGATGGTTGGTAAAAAGTAAAAAGCAAATAATATGATGGTACGCTGTAACAAGAACCTGTAATGGGGGAGGAGGAGAATTAGATGCAATGGTGCTTCAGAGGATTGCCACTGAAGGTCTTTCTGAGAATGTGAATATTGAACCACCAACTGAGGAATGGCAAAAACAACCCAGCTATCCAAAGAACTGGAGGAAAAGCACTGCAGACAGGCAAAAGAGCAAGTTCAAAGTGCTCCACACGCAACAGCACCCTTGGGCTTCTCTGAGACGGAAGTCGATCAGTGTAAACAGCAAGGAGAAAGCAGAGCCAAGCCCCAGGGGTCTTGGTCATCAGGAACAAGAGCACAGACAATTGTGGTCTATTCTGAGGGCAAAGGGAAGCCAGGTAGGTACCATAATTTGACTTGTATTTTTGAAAATTTATTCAGGTTGTTTGTCAAGAATAGATTGAGGAGACATCTAGATATTAGAATGCTATTATTAAATCCAATTTAATAATTTTAACCTGTGTAATTTAAGTCATTGACCCCAAATAACCTTGGACTATCAATCAAACTCTGTACTCTTAAATTCAATTTAAGTTATTTAAAAAATATTTTTGTTTTTACCGGTAACATGAGCCATCTATTACTATGGTATTACTGGTGGTTAATATAAATGAATTGCAAAAACATTTTTCCTACAGTTTTTTTATGTCACCAGCATTGTCATTATTAATACAAAGACAAAAATAATTTTCATTTCCCAGAACTGGCATTTCTCTCAACATTGTCTGGCATGAGTTAAAAAAGTGACAAATGTTACCCTTCAAACTAAAAAAGAGAATGCCAACTACATTTCCACACAAAAAATTTGTAGGACTAACCATGTACAGCTGAAACATTCTAATGAAAAGTTATGTTAGTAATGCATGTAATTGAGCAGTAGACTAAATAGTTAAGGAACACAGTAAATAATAAAAATCTCGATACTGGGGTAAAAAAGCAAATTACTAATTTACCAAGACCTTGTTCCAAAATACAAAATTCAGAAAGGTGTGCATGTAGCTTAGTGTAAGTAAGCAAGCCAGGAATGGTGTTGCATGCCTGCAATCCCAGCACTGAGGAGGGCTGAGGCAGGAGAGTCACAAGTTTGAGCCTAGCATGAGCAATTTACTGATTTAGTGAGACCTGTTTCAAAAGTTAAAAATAGGTTTGGGATATAACTCAGTTAGTGCAAAGGCCCTGAGCTCAATTACCAGTACTGAAAAATATAAAGGAACATGTGAG